GATACAGATGTTATAAGTAGGATTAATATGTGCAGCCTCCTGTAAGCATCCCATAAAGTATAAACACTAGAGACATTCTTATAACTCTAATATCTATTTTAATAATAGTAACACATAGGTGAGGCAGACTGGTTTCCAGCTACGCATTTGTCAGTGTTTAGTGAGGCCCAATTGCCTTGGCATTAGCTGGCACCTGGGTCTGCCAGCATCACACCAGGGAAGGAAAAGAAATAGCACAAATGTTGTACTCAGGTACAAGAGCACAGACAAAAGACCTGATTCAACGGTGCACTCCAGCTTAGCTATCTACTAAGGTAGTGTACTGACATGGTCACCATGATTCTAGTAATTGAGAGCCTCACAAGCATTAATCCTGGCAACATACCTGTAAGGCAAGGAAGTATTATTGTCCCTAGTTTATAGATTTGGAACTGAGGCACGGGGAGATTAAGTGATTTGCCCAAGGTCACAAAGGAAGGCTGTGGCAGAGCTGGGAATTGAATCCAGATTACATATGTCCCAGTGTCGTGTTTTAGCCACAAGACTGCCTTCCTCCCACTGGACAGATAAGCAGGGTTTGCGTCTGCTTTGTGTTACCAGATCGACAGTAAGCAGCTAGAGGGTACCAATGAATCTGTCTCTATCAATCTATCTATCTATCAGCTAAATATCAGTCAGTCAGCTTAGCTTTTCCTATTCTGCCTGTCAGCTACGTTACAGATATGACTGTGATGAATGCTGTGTTGAAGAATGATCTAGAAATGCCTATCAGCAAGCCTTACAAAAATATAAAGCTTGCATGGAAAGACGCTGTAAATTCAAAGTACATTAGTATTATAAACCAAATCCTGAGGGCCTTATTTTAGTCAGGCAGAGTTGAATAAAAATCATGCAATATTTGAGTAAAGACCTTAGGATGTGGCCCCCAAGGAATTACATTGGGTCACACCATCCATTCAATTTTTAAGCAGAAATCCCTCACTGGGGATGCTCAGTTGGTTCATATTGTCATTGAAGTCAATGGAGCGACACTAATTTATCCCAGCTGAAGATCTGGCCCATAGAGAAAAACATAACAAAGAATATGGCACGACTCCACCACGGGACCCTAGCCACCATTTGGATGCAAGGATAAAACCCAGACATTTGGTGATCAGGTGGGAGAACCATGGGGCGAGCTGGTTTATGTGCCTGCAGTGTCATGGTCTGATCTAGCATGCGGCAGGAAGGAGCACTGTCAAACACATGCTTTTCCCCATCTCTCCATTCCCCAAAGGGACATGATTTTGTGTGCTACACCAACAAGCTATGCCACTGTGGCAGCTTGACCCAAGTAGAAAGGCGCTTCCTCACATAACCAGATCCCAGCTCAGGTAGGGCTTTATATATTAAATCGGCGCCTTGATCTCTCGCTGGAAAGATAGCGGCACGCAGTGCAGCTCTGTGGAGCATTAGTGTAATATGCTCCCTGCATGATGGTGTATTGCTCGGCTGCATTCTGTGTAAGCTTCTAAGCCTTGGTCCCAGTGTGTGGCCCCAAGTAGAGCCCATTGCAGTCGCCGCCTCTTGAGGTGACCGGTGTGCATGAGGCTCCCAGGGGCCATTTGGAAAGAAAGGTTGCATTGTCCTACCCAGGTGCAGGTGGAAACTTCCTCACCCTTTTTGGCTACAGCTGTTATTTGATGTTCCAAAAGCAGCCCTGAAGGTAGTAAAACTCCTTGATTGCAAATGTGAGTCACAGATGGCAGATGCGCTCCCTCAGCCTCAGGTGTGCTTCTTGCCTGTTCTTCTAGTGGTTCCGCCCCCCCCTCCCCATCCAGCAACATCGTCTTTCTCTTATCTGCAGTAAGTCAGCCATCTTGTCCTCATTCATGATTTCATAGACTCTGGGTTTTCTGTTCCACTGCACCAGCCAGACCTTCTGTGGTGGACACTATCTATCTTATCTAATCTGTCTCTCTATTTGAGGCTGTAATTCACTATAATATCAAAGACCTGTGTGTGACAAGATTGCTTGTCACTCTCTTACTCTTAGGGCTTTGTTTCAGGCATACCGGGGTACGTACGGCTTGTGTGATCAGACGTAGGCTGCAGTGCTGTACCTGGGTGATCGTGGCTGGAGGCATAATGACTGTGCAGGACAGTCAGGCATAATGCCGCCAGCGAAGCAAGCGGGAAACATGTTCAGAAGTTGCATTTGCTACACTTTTTAAAAGGTGCCGTGAGGGCTCCGGGCACTGACAGAGGCCTGTGGAGCCAGGGGCATGCTCCAGAAATGTCGGCTCACGTCCCCTCTGGGGAGCTGAGCACTCGCAGCACTAGTCCCCCCTCCCGTGTTCTCAGGGCTCACAAAGGGGAGCACAGGGCTGGTTGGTGCAGATCTGAACCTCTGGTGGGATGGAGCCTGCACCCCCCCCCCCCGCCCCCGGGTGGGGGCACCCACAGTTTTGCCGTGCATTGTTTATTGGAAAAACAGAAGCACAATGACCAAAGCAAAATTATTGGTGTCCCAGTAAGCTCCTCCTTTTGCCAGGTGGAGATGCTGCTGTAGTGGGGGGATCTGAATGGAGCAGCTGTTGTCCAGTGGGCTGAGTGTGGCGCTGGGTGTTTGGAGATCTGGATTCTAGTCCCGGCTCTGTCGCTGGCTCACAGAGAGACAAATGATGGCCACTTGAGTGTGTGAGGGGAAAGGTACAGGGATCCCTTTTCCCCCAGGGATGTGGCTGCCAGTGATGGGGAGCACAGAGGAGGAGCAGTGCCGGTGGTCCCAGAGGGGTGTATTGTCCATATGGCGGGGCAGCACTGGTTACACTTTACACAGGTGTTGCAAATCTCACTGGCTGTCATTCTCCTCCTAGTGACCAGGAAACTGTGGTGCACCTTGTCCTCTTCCCTGTCACAGCTTAATCTGATGAGAGGTGTAAGTGAGCCCACAGCCTCCCCATGACTCAGTTTTCCCATCTGTAAAATGGCAATAAATATCACTGGTTACCTTCGTAGGCAATCTGAGGGCTCTTTAGGAGTAAGTGCTAAGCAGGAGACCAGAGTCCAACTCCTGACTCCATGCTCCCTGGGCTGGCTGGAGCTGGTATTGTTGTACAGGAGGCACAGTCCTCTGTCCCAGGTCTCTCTGCGTGGACCCCCTCTGGCCAACTTAAGAGAGGTGCTGGCAACCTCCCAAGAGCATCCACTCCAGTCTTTCCTGGCCAGGAGATTAATGGCTATATAAATTGGAGACAAACTGGGATCCTTAGTACTAAAGGGAGAACTCCCAGAATATAACCATCACCGATTATATTTCATTTGACCAGCAACCAGCTTGGAAGGAGGTGAAAAGAGCAATAGATTAATTTTAACATTGAGGCTGCTTTCCATAGCTGGCTGTATCCATTTGGCCAACGTTTAAACCTAAGTGCCCATACCACCAGTAGCAGTCACCGCCATCTTGGGTCCTCTAACCTGCAGACTGAAAGAACATGTGTACAGCATAGTAAGTTACCTCCAATTCCTTTTAGGTTAGAATTTTAAACAAGAAGATCGATTTTAGCGATATTCAGTCCAGATGTGGTTCCAAGGATAACATCAAACATTCTGCAGGGGGAGGAAATGTAAGTAGTGACGCTACCTCAGAAGGCGTCCTGACTGTGATGACCCACCTTGCACAGCCAGCCCTCTGTCTCCCGTCCTTCCAAGCACTATTTCCCTTCTTGCTTATGTTTCACATGTTAACTTGGTCTGGTAGTCTGTCAACCCTGTGTGTTCCGTGGTGGGCTTCTGATCCTTCCCCACAGACCGCAGCAAATGTTTAGGATTTAACCAGGAAACGGATTAGGAGGAAGAGGATGAGTGCGTCTTTACAGCCACGGGTTTAGTCCTGCAAGGAGCTGAGTATCCTTAGAGGTGCTAAGCGGCTACAGCTTCCACTGAACCCCAAAATAGGAGCCCAATGAGAGCTGAGGTTGCTCAGCTCTTACATGATCTGATCCAAGGTGACTAATTTCAAGGAAGTAACAAACACACTTTTCACTTATTACATTTTTCTTAAACTGCAGCATTCTATCTCCCTCTGTCCCCGGTGAAAAGGCCAGACTGCCTAGATGCACACTGCTGCAATGTGGCTTCATTCACATTTGCTCACAATTCCACAGAAATCAGTCATTCATTCAAGCTCCTGGAAGTACCAGGGGAAGTCCTGGCTGTACAGCAGATCTGTACATTTGCCTTCTTTAGGTCACCCCAGACAAAGTAACAGAAAGACCGAAAGCGTAGTCCATCTGTCATTCAAGGTTGGGTGTGCACTTCTGCCCCAGAGTCTTTCTCTCTCTCTCTCTCTCTCTCTCAGAAGACTACATAAAATTAACAGAGTTAGATGATAGATAGACAGATAAAAGAAATACAAAATCAGGATAAACAGGGTTTAGACAGAAGGTCTGATTAGCCATCGTGTTACTCCCGTTTTATGCCAGTGTAACCCCATTATGGATTTAATCTGATGTAAAACTGGAGTCACTCAGTAGTGAATCACACTCAGTGTTTACACTGTACTTATGGGGACAGAAGGACATGGGAAGAGATTTGAATCTGAAAATCAGGATAAGCCATGTGAAAGGGATGGTATTAAAAGCCCAAATTCCCAGGAAATAAGTATTCAAGAAAGGAACAAAGAAAGCAGACTAGAACAACAATATGTATCATGCTACACACAGCGCTTAGAGGCACCGCCTTTCACCACAAGAGGAAAGCTCAGAAGCTTCTTAGAAAATAACCCTTGTTTATCTTCTTGATTCACATCTTTGTTTTACTAATGAAAAGACTTAACACGCCACTGTCAGGTTCCTTGGTGGAATGGAAGCTTGCTGTATTAATCCATATGTTTCTCACCTTTCTAGCATGATCTGTTCTCTGCTAACTATTTCTTCTTTTCCAGTGTTTTTCGAAGCTAGCGCTCTTCCTCTTTGCCCTTTGCTCTTCCTAAAACGTGTTTTGTGCACTTTCAACAGATACAAATTGTAACCAAGAAAATAGATCTGAGCCATGTCACTTCCAAATGTGGCTCCCTGAAGAACATCCGTCACAGACCAGGTAATGTAGGAATTATTTGAACTAATATGGCATATTAGGGGGGAAATCCTGCTTGCCTATATCATGTGAATGGACCCACTGAAGCAACTTACTACTCATACAAGTAATGTGAACAGGATAAGTGGAGGTTCTCTAATGTACCCACTTCTTAGGGGCTGGATGCTAAGCACTCTGGCCTAATCTAGCAAAACCCTCACATGCTTAAAATTCAGCATGTGTTTAAATGCATTGCTGGTTCAAGGCTAGAATGTTCAGCAATGCATGCTCAAACCCACAGCTCAAGATGCTAACTGGTAGATACCTGAAGTAATGATAAAGATACTGCTTGCAGTCCATCATGAGATGATTATTAAGTGACAGCATACTGGAACATTAAGAGCTCTATTCCAATTTCAGATTTGCATATACATAATCTCAGAAAGAGTATTTGATCAGCCAGCATCCTCCCTACAAAACTTTTCTCCTCTAGAAAGCGCATTACCCAAATCTAATAAACACACATCTAATATGCCTGTGCTCAAGGTGATGAAAATGGTGCATGATTCAACCCCCAAATGGGAAGTTTTTACCTTTACATAAGTGGGGACTAAATTCAAGGATATAAGTAGACCTCTGTTGAGGTCAGTGGAGTTACACTTGCTTACACCAGATCTGAATTTGGACCAGGCTAGTTACATACTCCTGTCTGAAACCATAATATGAAGTATTTCAGATGCTCAGTATACTGGAATATATAGTGTACACAAGCTTCATATATGCAATCAATAAAGAACTAAATGATCATATATATATGTGTGTGTGATTTCACATATATAAGCTAACAAATGTATTCAGATGCAAATCCCATGTGATCCTTAGGACTTTGAGTCCATATAGCAATGAATGTGTTACAGGCCTCCACATGTTGGGTTTGTTCATCTACGAAAGAAAGATCGTGGTTACTAATATTCACTTAATAAATAATCCAAGTACAAATCACCACAAGTTACTAATGGAAATAATATAATAATAATAATATTCTTTATTTTATTTAATTGAGACATTTTCATATAAAGAGAGATGGAAAAAGTTTGGGACTGCTTAGTTTAGAGCAGGGATCGGCAACCTTTGGCACGCAGCCCGTCAGGGAAATCCGCTGGCCGGCCGAGATGGTTTGTTTACCTACAGCATCCGCAGGTTCGGCCGATCGCAGCTCCCACTGGCCGCAGTTTGCTGTTCCAGGCCAATGGGGGCTGCGGGAAGCTGTGTGGGCCAAGGGATGTGCTGGCTGCCGCTTCCCGCAGCCCCCATTGGCCTGGAGCGGCAAACCACAGCCAGTGGAATCTGTGATCGGCCGAACCTGCGGATTCTGCAGGTAAACAAACCGTCCCAGTCCACCATTGAATTTCCCTGACGGGCTGCGTGCCAAACGTTGCCAATCCCTGGTTTAGAGATAAGATTAATAAGAGGGGGCATGATAGAGATATACAAACTAATGATACAGGTGGACCTATTTACCTGTTCTCATAATACAAGTACAAGGGGAATGCTCCATTTAAACTGAAAGATAACAATTCTCTGTACACAGCTCAAATTTAATCTGTGGAACCTACTGCCACAAGATACCATTGACTCAAGTGGGAATTGCAGGTTCTCCACTGAGCCTCACTTCAGCAAATTACTTAAACACATAGAATCGTAGGACTGGAAGGGACCTTGAGAGGTCATCTAGTCCAGTCCCTTGCACTCGTGGCAGGACTAAATATTATCTAGACCATCCCTGACAGGTGTTTGTCTAACCTGCTCTTAAAAATCTCCAATGATGGAGATTCTACAACCTCCCTAGGCAATTTATTCCAGTGCTTAACTACCCTGACAGTTAGGAAGTTTTTCCTAATGTCCAACCTCAACCGCCCTTACTTTAGTTTAAACCCATTGCTTCTTGTCCTATCCTCAGAGTTAAAGAGAACAATTTTTCTCCCTCCTCCTTGTAACAACCTTTTATGTACTTGAAAAACTGTTGTTATGTCCCCGCTCAGTCTTTTCTTCTCCAGACTAAACAAACCCAATTTTTTTCAATCTTCCCTCATTGGTGATGTTTTCTAGACCTTTAATAACTTTTGTGGCTCTCCTCTGGACTTTCTCCAGTGTGTCCACATTTTTCCTGAAATGTAGCATCCAGAACTGGACACAATACTCCAGCTGAAGCCTAATCAGTCCAGAATAGAGCGGAAGAATTACTTCTTGTGTCTTGCTTCCAACACTCCTACTAATGATCATCCAAGAATGACGTTTGCTTTTTTTGCAACAGTGTTACACTGTTGATTCACATTTAGCTTGTGATCCCCTATGACGTCCAGATCCCTTTCTGTAGTACTCCTTCCTAGGCAATTGTTTCCTATTTTGTTTGTGTGCAACTGATTGTTCCTTCCTAAGTGGAGTACTTTGCATTTGTCCTTATTGAATTGCATCCTATTTACTTCAGATAATTTCTCCAGTTTGTCCAGATCATTCTGAATTTTAATCCTGTCCTCCAAAGCACTTGCAATGCCTCCCAGCTTGGTATCATCCGCAAATTTTATAAGTGTATTCTCTATGCCATTATCTAAATCGTTGATGAAGATATTGAGTCCATCCCTATTCAGCAAAGTACTTGAGCAAGTGTTTAAATCCCATTGAAGTTATGATTATAGTATAGTATAGTAGAACCTCAGAGTAACAGACACCTCGGGAATGGAGGTTGTCCGTAACTCTGAAATGTTCGTAACTCTGAACAAAGTGCAGTTTGGGCTCCAGTTCCAGCAGCAGCTGAACTCTCTCCTCAGTGCCAGCAGCTTCCTTGCAGGCAGTTTCTTTCCCTAGATCGGACTGCAACCATGTCCCGCTTCCGGCTGGGAGGGTGGGGTGAAAACAGCTTGTCCCTCTCCCAGCCAGAGGAGGGGAGCTTAAAACAGTGCCCTTCCCTCCCAGCCAGGAATGTGTGGGAAAACAGCGCCCCCGCCCCTAACTGGGGGAAGGTGAAAGCAGCGCAGACCCCAGCGCTGCTCCTGCTCTGCCGGCTGCCTTGGGCTGGCAGCCCTAGCGTCTTCTCTACTAGATGTAAGTGGCTGCCCCATGCATGGGGTTGGGGTGGGGACAGGCAGCCCAGATGTGCCTACCTTTAAGATACAGTACAGGCACGGTGCAGTATTTGCTTTTTTTTTTGTCTCTGCTGCTGCCTGATTGGTTTCTTCACATGCTGTTCGGTTGGCCGGTCAGTCCGTAACTCTGGTGTTCATATCTTTGAGGTTCTACTGTATTGAAATGCTTTGCTGAATAGAGGGCACGGTGCTCTTCACCTCTCAAAATCTGGCCCTTTATGAATTATTAGATCATATGTGACAGAGAAGTAATAAATGTCTGTGCCCAGACAGAACTGGGAGGGCAGAAAAAATAAGGCACTAATAGCTAATTCTGTCAGTTGATTTGCCTGGTTGGCCCTCAAGCTACATTTTCAGGAAACAAAACAAAGTGTATTTGAAACTGAGGACTACTTTATTTTCTTAATTTGTATTTGATTTTGCTTGAATAGGTGGGGGACGTGTGAAAATTGAGAGTGTGAAACTGGATTTCAAAGAAAAAGCTCACGCTAAAGTTGGTTCCCTTGAAAATGCCCACCATACACCTGGAGGTGGCAATATCAAGGTAAGAAATCAGCCTGATGAACTGAGCTTCTCCCTTTGAGAATGCACTTCCGCCCAAAGTTAGCAGTGACATGAATCGTGGTGTAAATTACACAGCAGGTATACATGGGTCAGAAAAATGAGTGTCACTTATATACAGGGCTATAGAGGTGAGAGCAGGAAAAGCAACTAACAGGAGAACAGAAGATAGAACAGGTTACTTTTCTATGGTTGTTCCTCTCAACCTGGAGCCAGTGACTCCCAGGCTGCTTCTCCTGATGCCCAGTTGAACTTCTGTTTTGCCTCCAGACCTCTACCTTTGCCGCTATTCCAAATCCACATTGGGGTTTTAGTCAGTCTAGTAATCCTGACCCAATGGCTGTCTTCAAATCTCCTTTGTTCCAGGGCGCTCTGGGTGAGTAGTAGTGTAGAATCACATTACATGCCTCTGACCCCAGAGAATTTGTAAAGTGCATGAAATTTGAAAACAGAAGGCAGACCAGCAGGATCTGTTTATATTTTACCATGTATTTTTTAAGATGCCAGGAAACTGAACCAAATTTTTAGAAATTTGGAGTTTGGTTTTAAGTTTGGGCTGAAATTCAGTCCAGGTTTTTATTGTAAAGGTCACTCCTGTAAGAAACACAGTTAGTTGTGCAAAACTTACTCTTCCACCTAATGTCATTGAATCACAGAGGGCCATTGTATTGGCATAAAAAAAGAGAGAAGTACTTTCAGTGAACATTAGGATCCTAAGTGCCTACGTCACATTTGAAAATGGGGCTTAGGCGCTCTTGAAAATGTTACCTCAACTCCAATTGATTTCAATGGAAACTGGACGCTAATTCCCTTTAGACACCTTTGAAAATCTCAGCCACGCTGTATTGAATAGCACTGGGTGACTATTACAAAAATGCTCTTGGTATATTCCTTTCAGCCATGCTCACTGGCCTTTTTGTGTATGCTTCCTGTGAACATTTCATTTGAGCAACATTCAAACAATGCGAATATCAGAATCACATAAACACATGTGCATATTCACTTTGCACAAGCAAGTACTTTACACTGGCATTGCTTGTGTGATCATCCAGTCAGAGAACTGAAACAATATCATGACTGTTGTAACCAACCACAGCAAACCAATGCAACTCAAACAGGGTGAAATTCATGCCCGTGCAGAGGGCCAACTCAAGGCCTATGCACCACTCAAGTCCCACTTTAAGCCTTGGGATGATGCTCTGCGCGAGGGTGGATTTAACCCATTACAGATATTGAATACTCACAGAGATACACACATGTTCAATCCTTACGAGGCTTTTTTAAAAAAAGAAAAGACATTTCAGACCAATAAAATGTAGAATAATATATGAATTCAATGAAGACATGATATGCACATGGATATTCAGTAATAGAGGCAAAAGATGGGTTTTTTCAGTCCTGCCTAAGGGAGTTAGGTACCCAAATCCCACTGAAAGTCCGTGGACATTGGGTGCCTAATCCCATTAGGCACCGTTGGAATCCCAGCCTAGATTTATTAGATACATTTTTGTTGTGAATTATTCACTCGGCTGTCGCCTTGGTGGGAATCATTGGCAGGCTCATAGGAGAGGGCCCGTTGGCTAGAGGACGTGCTCCAGCAGTGGTGGCCCAAGCAAAGGTGGTGAGCAGGACCGGCTCCAGGGTTTTTGCCACTTGGGCCGCGATCACGATCGGCGGCAGCTCCACCGCGTCGCTTTCTTCTTCAGCGGCAATTCGGCGGCAGGTCCTTCCCTCCGGGAGGGACTGAGAGACCTGCTGCCCAAGAGCCCGACCTACCGCCCCTTCCATTTGGCCGCCCCAAGCACCTGCTTGCTCAGCTGGTGCCTGGAGCCGGCCCTGGTGGTGAGTGACTCCTGAGTCCAGTGCTGTGAGGCTGTTGATCACCTCCTGGCAGGGGCTGAGCTCTCTCAACTCCCACTGACTTCAAGAACTGAAGGTGATCAGCACCATACGGCAACAGGTCCTATGTAGGAAGGAGAGAGTTGGCCGCACACTGAAAAGGTGGGAGGGTCTGTGACTAGGAAAGGGTGTCACCACAGAAGGCAGGAGTTTCAAATCAAATCAGCAATAGAAGCAAAGGTTTACATGCATTTTGCCTTTCTTGAACAGATTGACAGCCAGAAGCTAAACTTCAGAGAGCATGCTAAAGCCCGTGTAGATCACGGGGCCGAGATCATTACGCAGTCACCAGGCAGGTCCAGCGTGCCTTCACCGCGCAGACTCAGCAACGTCTCGTCCTCTGGAAGCATCAACCTGCTGGAATCCCCGCAGCTTGCTACCCTCGCTGAAGATGTTACGGCCGCCCTTGCTAAGCAGGGCTTATGAATTTGCTCCATTTAGCAGTGTATGAAGTAATAATATTTAGACATGAGCTCTTGGCAGGAATGGGCTCAGAGCAGGTGTTACATTCATTCTTTTACCATGTCTAAAATTAAGTCACATCCCAAGACTGTAGCAACCATACAATAAAAAAAAAACCCAAAATAATTAAATAGATGCAGAAATTGGCCTGATCTCCATTTACAGCAGGAAGACACTGGCTTTACGTGGGTATGCAATTGCAGTGTATGACATTGGACGATTATTGTCGCTCTGCTCTGTTTTGCATGGAGTACCGTACTATGATAAAATGCATTTTTACCTTTCCATGTGCCTGAGGGCCATCCACCTCTTTCTGACTTGCTACTATCCCAAGTTGCTCATTTCACAGTTCTGTTGATGGGTGGGAGGAAAAAAAAGTCGCCCATTGTAACTTATTACAGGTTAAATTAAACTGAAGAGCCTAGTTACCGGATGGGAAGGGCATATAAAGGAAATCAAGTTTAATTTTAAAAAGTGTTATTTTGTATAAATGGGTAGAAGGAGAAAGACTGGATTAAGTTATTAACGTTTTGGGGCCTGGATAATTATGTCAGTGTATAGCTGATTCCAATAAATTATTTAACTGATAACTAAAAATAGTAGTTGAAAAACATTTGAATTGTGCTTGAGGAAGTGGCATTTTTAAAACAAAAACGCTGTTGAAAGGAAGCACTTCCATTTCAATGGGCTTGTGTCTGATTAGAATGTCGGTTAAGCGGCTAGATTTGTGTACACACTACCAGTTTCACATCCTTTCCATCTGTTTGATACAGTATTATAGATATATATATTTCTCTGTGGCCATTTGTGATATGCCCTCATATACTTGAATATTATACTTCTTTATTCACAGTATCTGTGTCTCTTGCACCCTTTGGTGTTGCAATTTTAGGTATGTAAAAGTAGATGTTAGCAGGGTTTTTTTTCCCTATTCAGAAAAAAATACATAAAAAGACAAAAACATTTAGCATGAAATTGCTTTCTGTAACAACTAAAAGCCGTGACCCTGTTTTAGTGTCAGATGCAAGTCTCTTCTGTGATGCTAGAAAAATTATTCCTTTTCCCCACCCTCCTTTTTTCACCAAGACTGATTTTGTGAGTTCCAGATGTTTAGAAAAAGGGTTTCCAAAGAGGTGGGTTTGGATTCTGGATTTTTTTAAATCAAAAACAGTTTGGTTTTAGCTTCCTCTTTTTTTAAACTTCTGTAGTAACAATGAATGTTGGATTTATTTCATTGAATTTTTTTCTTTTGCTAAAGTTGAAAAAAGTATTTGGGTGTCATTCCATACCTTCAGTAGTGTCTTATGTGTACACTCGGGCACTCTGGTAGTATAGCAGTAAACACTGTAGAGATGCCAATAAATTATAATTAATAAATTAAATAGATAGATAAAACGAACTCCCTAGTCTGGATCACCAAGGTGAATGAATAGATAAATAGGGCATATTTAAATCTCAACAAAGAAGCAGCAAGTGTATGTTGACTATAAAAAGTATAAGAAAAGTGTGAATAAACTTGCAGAGAGGCACATAAACATCAGATCTAATGGAGTTACTTGTGAGAACTCCAACACATCATTATGGACACTAAGAAAACACTGCTGAAGGTAATATGGTGGTATTACTCATCAGTGGATAACAAATCTGCTGATGTTATGTACAGTAGACATTATAAAATGACCAATTTACACACTTGCAGATTGTTGGCTCTCTTCCTTTCGAAATCTCTAGCTAATCTTTACACTGTCAACTGAGCTAGACATGAATTGTGTATTAAGTCAACCTTGTGTATTGGAAGTTTTTGAGTACTCTGTTCTTTTTACTGTGTGTGTATGTGTGTGTTGGGGATTGATCTGAAAAGAACATAGAGATGATGTTTGTGTCTGCGCAGAAGATTCTTATAATTAATAGCAAAGGATTCCACAGAATTAAATTTAGTATTAATCTGCACAAATAAATCTTCAGTGTGGTGAATGGAGATTTTGGCCAAGCAGTTGTTCCCCGTGGCATTAAGATGAATTATATGGCTCAAACTCCATGCACCTTACTGAAGATGAACTCCTAAATAGCCCCACACATCAACTCCGCAAAAAGCTTTTTCACACTCTAAAGCACGGAATGCTGTTTGTAAGTCAGTTATTTTATACAAAAGACATGGAGTTTAGCAACCATCTAAAGTGCATCAAGAGGATTCTGATTTCTGCCTTGTAATTGCTGTACTGTTGCTTAGAATAACCAATGGGAATTTACTTGGAAATAATGTTTGGTGTGGTCCATAAAAATGTCTTGCCATTGTTTAAGAAAAACAAAAAGAGGAAAAAGGACAGTATTTCTGATCCTGTTGCTCTCCATCAGTTAATGCAAATGCGCCTTGCAGTGTTTTTATTATGCCTTTTGCCAATGTTAGGAAGAGCCTAATGTACTCCTGAGCCTCAGCTTCACTGAAGTTGAACACAGCTGGTCAGAACAGTATTTAAACTATGACTCAAGTACTTTTTATCCTGCTTTTAAAAAAAAACAAAAACACATTCTGTAGATGGTGAAGTTTAGTTATTGCACATACACATCCAAAGTCAAACTGATGTAACACACCAAGTCATTTACTTCATGCTTTGAAATGAGCTTTCTTGTCTTAATTCAAGCAAAGTCCTTGTAATCAATAATGGTCCTTCCATAGAAAGAGTTCTAGAACTTTTGTGGGGAGCTAGATGAAGATAAAAGCAACCAAGAGTTTATGTTAAATAAAATGCGAGTTACGTTACGCAACTCTAGATATTCACTGAAAAAGCTCATAAGAATCTTAACTTCTCAAGAAGAGTGTCAGTTTAAAAACTTTGCAAGCACTTGGTGGCCATGTTCCAGTTTTCTGGAACCCACGTCTTTAACAGTTCTATTCTCTTGGCAAGTTTAGCCAGTCAGTGACATCTAAGAGCCAACTTCTCTCTATTTGTAACAGTGAATAAATAGAAAATTTAAATTAAGCCAAATCGGATAGTCATGGGAGAATCAAAACTGAGTATATTTGTTGAGTGGTAGGACAACGGAAAAGGCACTCTGGGTGTCTCTACATCTGCAAAATATCTGTTTCTATGTAATCCTAGGCAGGAAGAAATCCAGTAAAAGTTGAGCCGATCTTGGTCCAGCAACAATGAAGGAGAAACTAACAATGATGAGGATACTCCTGTGTCCACTAGACAACACATATTTTCACTGTACAGCAGTAAATGGTATTAGCCAGCTAACACTATGTTAATGTACAGTAGCAACATTTCTTTCCTCATTATGACTGCTTGCAAATATATATAAACTGGCCTATCTACACAACCCAAAGGGAGTTGAAAGGCGGTCTATGTGGACTACTGTATATGAGAAAAGTTTTTGCTGGGCTGGACCAAAATATTTTCTGAAAATCAAGTATGAACATCTCTTCAAAGACAGATGTCTTTAAGTGTAGATCACTTTTGTTATATAAAATGAAGCAGATAGAATTTTAGCCTAGGTGTGTGTAGAGCTCACTCGCTCTTAGTAATCCTACTCAAGCAATGCCCTCTGCAGAAAAATAATTTACTTTCAGACTTAAAGGTCAGGCAAAAAAGCCACTTCAACTTTAGCAAAGAGAAAAAAGAAACAAAAAAAAATCATATTCTGTATGCTGGGATTTGGAGGAATACAGTCTGCCGTTACAAACCTGTGTTTTTTCTGATAATTCTAGAGCCTGTTACCATAAAGAGACATTTCTTGAATGGCTGGTGGTAGTTAGTTCATGTTTTTCAATCCAATTTGCAATTGTATTTGTTGCTGTATAGTGATTGTTTTGCAAAATAAAATTGCTTGTCATCTAACCACTTGTATCTTTTATTTGTGATGCAGATTATATCCCCATCCACTCACTGCATATCATGGTATTGCTTTTAAGAAAATATAAAATAACATATACCTACTAGCAATGCATACAGTCAGTCTTAAGACAAGTCAGAGCAGATGAAGTAGTGGCTCTCGCTTACTCTCCATTATTTCTTGCCGCAGTTCCCAGCTTTACAGCCAGCACATCAGCCTTTAGGGAAATATTTCTCTGCTTCATGTGAATGAGTTATTTTCTTGTTTATCCTGGACTTCTAGCCCAAATATGAAGTTTAGCTTGACTGTGGATTGAACAGTTAGGTTCCTGAGATAACTAACTGACCTCATGAGTAAATCAACTTTCCTCTGTTCTTCAAAATTTTTAGACTGACTTTAGTACTTTTGAAGATGTCTCTGGAGGCTGAAGTCATCTGTTGCACCCCATAACAGGTACAGCACAGACAGTGGCTTTACAAATTTCCCTGTACTGCCCCTCTAGTGTACCTCACTCCTGATTTGGAAAGAACACCTGTAGGAGAGAATGGATAGGTTCCATCTCTAACTCTCTTAATCCATGGTGTGTCTGCCAAGGGCATATATTAGTGCCAAGCATGATGTTATTTTTATTCTATAAGAACGTAAGTGCTGCCATACTGGGTCAGACCACAGTCCATTTTGCCAAGTATCCTGTCTTTGACAGTGGCCCATGCCAGACCTTCAGGGAGACTATACAGAACAAGTCAATTATGAAGTGATCCATCCCTGTCTTCTGCTCCCGACTTCTAGTAGTCAGAGTTTTAGGATCACCCCAAGCATGGGGTTGCATCCCTGACTTTCTTGGCTAATAGCCATTGATGGACCTATCCTCCATTAACTTACCCAGTTCTCTTTTGAACCCAGTTATACTATGCACACTTGCCCACTGGGAACTGGAGTGAGAATTGTCAACATGTTCTACAAGCCAATTTTCTTTACAAAGTAAACAATGACACGGTGGCCCTCAGATGGTCTGTTGAGACAAAAAGTCCAATAATAAATTTGCCCTTAGTGGAACTCTCAGCCCTTCATATAGTCTTAGTTGTTTGTTTATTTAGATATCAGCCTTATTCAATCTCCACACCAAAGCTCGCCCATCTTTATCAAAAGGCTGAAGTTGCTACTGAGTACATGCCACCATAAATCAGCACCTTTTTTTCTTTTGCAAATGCTTACAGAATACACATCTTGGATTGGAGGGAAGAAGAAAGAGAACCCCTCACAGTTTAAATATGTTTTGTTTCCACACCATGAACGGGACTCTCTTAGCCTGTTGGGCAACAAGAAGTCCTGCAGATTTACTTACCCAATCCCACAAATGGAATTTGTTCTGCGGAAGAAGATATGGAGAGGGGGAGTTCTACGTAATGAAGGGAGGACGCTATCTTCAGTATTCTTCCCTACATTACATAGTCTTTGGACTAAGAACCAGGTCATCCACCTTCCTGTGCTGTTGACTTGTATAAGGAAAATGTCCATCCTGCAGCAGATGGATTTGCCTCTTTACTCCACTGTCCTAACATGACATTTGTAGCTGTTATTATTCCTATCTTAACTCAAGTTTTAGGCCTGATTCTGCAATGCTGACTCACATATCATTGCTTTATATTCTGTGGAACTTCTTATATGAGTAAGGGTGGTAGGGTCAGGCCCTTACTTTGCAGAAAGACTGAGATAGCCCATCCAATCACACATTATTAGTATTGACATTTATTACGAACAATAATTTTTTGCCAAGGTGTTTCTCATTTAAAACATCCTTTCCCCCGTCACTATTATTTGAAATAAAACTCTTTAGAATCATACCACTGAAATCTATTTCCTTACCAAGATAACAACTGCTCCCTCCTGCAGGAAAAAAAAACAACAACATGGCACAGGGCTAAAGGGATGAAAATCTCCATAAGGTTCTCCTGACTCAGACTAATACTGATTTCTCCACTGGGGGAGGGGCAGGGATAGCACTCCCCAGAATAAATCACATGTCCTACCTTCAAAATCTTGGGGGAACATTGGGAAGCAAGTACCATCCCAATAGAGAACCCATGTCTGGCTGCCTCTGTGCCACCAGCCCCCGCACCCCTCGTCTGCCAGCACAGATCCAACAGAATTACCCCATCTGAGCTTCATCAGCTGGCACTTGCCCTGGGGACACCCATAACGGCAGATCTCCCTCAGAATGAGGGACTGCAGGACGCTGGGCTGTATTACCTTTCTAAAGGAATATTTGCAGCATTAGTGCTGGGATGACATGCACTCTGTCCTAGCTGAGTCCCTGTCCTCCCCCCTCCTCTCACAGAGCCACCAATCCCTTGGTGCAGCTTGGAGGAAGGGGGAAGACAGTGAGCCTACCTTCTGTGTTGAAGGGATATGGTCCATGAGTGAAGGGACCCCCTCCACCATCAGATCATTAGGGCATGATCTGCTCCCAAATTATTTGTGTCTTCCTTGAGCATACTCCCTGGTTTGTTGGGATGCTCTGGGCGCAGAGCAGCTAGCACGGGGGTATTTTTAAATAGAAAAACAAAGAGTATGGACGCACATGGCTTTTGAGAGGGGAAAACATTGCACAAACTTTACTAACACAATAAATGAAGGCGCCACTGCCCTCCTTTTAGTGCCCATTAGCTAATAAAATGCTATGGGTGGACAGTCTGCACCCTGCCATGGATCTCAACCCCTAGTCTCAAGGGAGAGTCAAGCAGGGAAGCAGGGAAGTTCAGGAGTGAAGACATGACTTGATTCTCCACTCGCGTTGGTGCAAATCAGAAATAACTCCACTGCAGTCAATTGATTTACATCAGTGTCAGAGAGAGGAGAATCAGGCCCAAAGGCGGTAGGATGGTTTTATGCTAAAAGCAAAGCTGGAATTATAACCCATCAGGACACAGCGCCAGGAGTAAATCTAAGACCCAGATGCACCAGAATGCCAATGGGATGCACCGGCATGAACTGTCCTGCCTTCTGCAGCTTTCGCCCTCCTTCCCTGCCCCACCCTCTCACTGTGGCAGGCTGAGGGCCTGAGTGCGGATGAGACGCTGAGACCCTGTAAAGCGACTGCTTAGACAGGCCAC